TTTAAAATAAAAAATGGGGGGTCTTTGATAGATATAATCTTTTTATTTTTCCAACTGTCGCCCGCGTGGCGCAGTGGTTAGAGCGTCTGCTCTAGAGTCGCGGAGTAAGGAGTTGATCCTTACGTCGCGGGTTCGAATCCCACTGTGGGACGTGGAGACCGGTCCTTCGGATGAGACCGTATAAATCGAGGTCCCGTGTCGCAGTAGGTGCTGGCACGAAAAAGATCCCTCACTGCTCAATGGCCGTAAGTGCCGAGTATAGGACAAAATTTGCAGCTCTCCACCGGCAAGTGGTGGCGTCTCCATATGAGTGAAAAATTCTCGAGAGGGACGTTAAACAACATACAATCAATCAATATTTTTCCAACTTAATTATTAGATCAGTCTTTCATTTACATCCATTTCTTGTGGAAAATGTAATTTATTTCTGCAGTATCACGGTTGCGCGCGTTAATCTTGTATTAGCAAAAAAATAAAAAAAAAAAAAAAAAAAAAGATTCTGAAAAGAAAAACCGTGTCGCGTACTTGCTTTGATACACGTACATAAATAGCCTGGAGGAAAAATGGACTCAAACTAGTTATTTGCGATGATAAAAAATTTATGAAGAGAAATGTTTTTTCTTAAGAAATAAATGAGAAATATTCAATGGATCTAAATGTATTTAATTACTGTCTCCCAATTAAGTCTGCTCGTAATTTACCCTCTGTTGTCACCAATATAACACGTGCCGCGGTATTTTGTTTGTTTATCAATGAGTTCTTTAGAAGATCTTTTTTTTTTTTTTTAAAAATCTCGATACATGTAGTTTATTCATGTACTTTTTTTCAGTCCATGTTTTAAAATTTAATTCAAATCCCAAAATTGGAAATATATATTTCATAGTAAAATTTTGCTTGGACCGAGGTGTCTTATGTATGGGCCGACATGTCTTAAATCTGGGGCCGACCCGTCTGAGCCGAGATGCCATTGGGCCGAAATGTCAATGAGCCGAGGTGTCGTTGGGCAGAGGTGTCAGACATTCTTTATTTCTTCAAATGTTGCTACAGTATTTTTTTATTTACCATAATCTTAATTGAACAATTCAAATTTGATATTAATGCTTTTTACATGCTTAATTGGTTTAATTATACTGAGTAATGTCACTGTAATTTAGGGGATCATATCCGTGTTTTTTAACAATCTGCGATATGTTTGGAAAACAATTAAAGGACGGAGACGTTAAGGAGGCTGGGGGGTCAACAAATTAACCATCAGATATAACTTAATTTTTTAGATATGATATCTTAAGTTGTCAACTATCATTTGGCAAACAAAAATTTCATACATTTTAGTGTCAAAATTTGATCATTTTTGTATATCTTTATATGGAGCTCTTCTTCTAAAGGAGATTAATATAATCTGAAAATGGCCACAACCACCCAGCCCTCTTAATTTCTGTTGGTCTGCTGGGTCTTTGATAGGAGAGGTATTTAGTGTGACCACATGCATACGTCTGTTGTCTCCCGTCACCCTGTGCAATTTATGTACCAATGTACATATAATTTATTTAAAAAAATCCATTGGTTCATTATATGCCATTGGCGAACGGACCCTCTGGGAACAAGTTTTAGATCGGACTCTGGGCGAACGAGAATAACGGCGAACGGCGTCAAAGGTGAACAAATTTTAGGGCGAATGAACATACAACCTTGCGAAATTCATGTGTGCTTTTATGGAACACAAACTTTTAACAATTTTTTTCTTTACTTTCCTGTTACACTTTCAATTTACTTCATTTTATTTTGTGTTTTGTGAACAGTAGGCAAGGCTTATAAAGAGATGGAAGAGATATCATGCAGATATAGATTTAATCTCACGACCAAACAATGATATAGATGTACATTGTAAATGAAGGACATTCCAGCACCTCACAGCCTCCAGCAAATTAAGCAGCTGATGAATGTAAACACATGGAAATCAAATGGTACAATGCATTAACCATTCTGATTACACTTTAAAAATCTGAATTTTAAAGTTTTATTAATAAATATCATTTGCAATTCCAAGAAATTAACTAATTTTTGCATAAATATGTGTTAATTTAATAATTCGTTTTTAATAACTATATTTGTCTTTGGATTGATTATTTATAATTTGGAAAAAGCGCAAGATATTAATTGTTTATTTAAGTGTTCGTCAATTTTCACTAAAAGATAATTTTGAATAAAAAGATTATGAGATTGAACACGATTTTAACATATTTCATTATACAAATATTTATTATATCAAATTGTACATTGTAGGGGTAATCAACTAAAGCGCTGCACCAATCTGTCCACTCAGAAGACCAACATAATCCAGGAGAGAACACTAATCAGGAGATCAACAGCACCCCAGGAGTCCAAGATCACCCACAAAGACCAACACCACCCTCAGGACTCCAACAACAGGACTCTAACACCAAGATTTAATTAAAACTGAATTTTTTAATGAAATATTTATCGGATTTCCGACATTTTGGCATGAGCATCACTGAGGAGACATAATTTGTCGAAATGCAAATCTGGTGCATCAAAATGGTTACCGTATACGATTTACATCTTATCTTGGAATGTTTTCATGCATTGGACTATTTCTTGACCACAAGTGAAAATAGAAAACGTTTGTAAAATGTTTGGGTTTTGTACTGATTGCATGTAATTTATAAAATGTATTTTTGTGAAATACATTGTATTTGACCTATTGATAGGAAGTTAATTAAATGTTTACAATATAGATTTATATATGTTTTCCTTTATATAATTATGAAGGCATCTTAGTTAATAAAAAATTAAAATTTTAAATAAGTAATCACCATCCCCCCCCCCCCCTTCCGAAAAAACAACGTTGAATTAACTTTTATTCAATGTCTAATCAACATTGATTTTCAACATTGAATCAACGTTAAGAATTCAACGTTGAACTCAATTTTCAAAATCTTACATAAACTAAACGCTGAATCAACATATATAAGCAACGTTGATTCAAGTTTTTTTTCAATGTTGTGTGCCTGCTGGGGAATACCTTAATCCGAATTCGAATCTGCATAACGTATAGAATTTTTGTTGGCTAAGTTTTTTTATGCTTTTAAAACCCATCAGAACTTCACAAAAAAGGACATTTTATAATATCACCATTTTCATTTATCTTTTATCTTTATTTACGTGTTTTTTTAAACATTGTCAAAATATTAAGAGTGACATATAGATCCATTGGGCGGGTGTAAGTAACCATTTCTTGTTGTAAAATATATTGTACAGTTGCCTCAATACACAAGCCACTATAATAAATAATTTACTATGTGCATGTTTCCCGCCAATTCAGCCTTTAATGATTTCATATACATGAATTATGATCACTTAGTGTAGTACTTTTTAAGATCGGTGCTAGTGAAGAGTCATAGAAAAATGTTGATATTTCTTATGCAAAATTTGTACATGCCAATTGTCATGTTGCAGATTTTATTTGATGAAATGAAATATGTCAGAAAGGACCGAAGGAAAAAATGCATGTAAGTATCTTCTTTTCGTTTGTAGCTGTTCTATTTCTTTACCGTTCCCCCCCCCCCCCCTCTCTCTCTCAATTAAGCTATTATGAAAAGGAATGAAATTATGACGAACAAAACTTTTCTGCGGGAAATTCTCTAGACATAGTCACTGATTTAAAAAATTAAAAAAAGGAAATATGCGATTTCCTTGGGTTTCAACACAAGCGATAAAATCTCGAGAATCAGTTTATTCACTGACGTAAACCACTGATTTCACCACACAGAATACTGTTTGTTTGTGATACGACTTTTGGATGGAAAGGTTTGTATGTTTTGTCATGGTGTAATTTTTAAGGTATACGCTTAGTGGGTCCTATAAGTCCATGTTTTGTTAACCAAAAAGGCATATTTTTACGCATACTTTGAAGATATACAAGTAGAATTACTAATGGCACGAAGGCTTATTTATTAAAAAAAAAAAGTGTAATGACATAAAAAAAGAAAGATCGATTTTGCTCCCATTGGTGTGCATGCTATTTCATAGAGGGTTGTCGCTAATAATTGAAATAGCAGGGTATATGGGTATATTAAAAAGTAGAAGCGGGTATGGGGTGGGCTGAGTGAGGATGCATGGGGGTTATATAGGCCTAGGCGGGGCCGGAAATTCCGGGCCGGTCCTCGCGGGTCTTAGGGACAACCCTGTTCACAGATGAATAGTTTTAATACTTTTTTTTTTATTTGCCAAACCAATGACATTTCCCCCGACTTATATTCATCCACCCTTTTAACTGAATGTAATGGCCAAAATCCATTTTTAATATAGAGAGAATCGCCCTTTTATGAAGATTTGTCAAATAAAATTATTTTGTTACTAATGTACGTACTTGTTAGCAAGTACAAGTTGTGACTATGAGCTTTAGTAGTACGATAAGATAATTTTGAATGGTTCTCACACGATACACAAGCGTTTGTGATTGGTTGGGGATGAATGTCCATGTAGGGACATTATGACCATGCAGGGAAAGCTCGCGGGGGATTGTCTCCACTCTTTAATGTTATTGGTCAATATTTGCATATAATTAGCCTTGAACTTTGAATGTTTAAGGTGAGGCTAATATTAGGAGAAAGATTATGCCTCAGTCATCACAACATGTGGTAAATACTTCTTCTATTTCTAAAAAGAAAATGTTTAAAATGTACAATAAATATATATAGAAAAATTATATCCATCAAATGGGAATTCTTTTGTTGTATTATAATTTACTTTAGCAGCCAAAAAATTTATGAAAAAAACCTTTTTAAGCTTTTGTATACATAATACGAGGGAAAAATGCAAAGAAATATTTAGCACGACATTGAATTATTTACATATTTGTTTTTGTTTTTTAACTTTCTGGGTTCATAATTTTTTAATATGATTTGTATATTAAAATGTCCTGATTGTTCTCCAATATTATGCAAGGAAACATTGCGTTGATTAGCGACACCATTCCGTAACCCGTTTAATCTGCTTTTGGACGTCTTGGCACCCGTAGAACCAATATATTGGTCAATGAAGCAAAACAAGGAAGAAGGGGGCTGAGAGTGACATAGACTTGAATTAACTACCGATTTTCATCATGTTTCGGATGCGTTATGTGTCTGAATTTGTGCGAAGGAGCAGTGCGAGTGCCCAGCTATCACAAACACATGCAAGCAGGAGTTTCATATTAGTAAAACGCTGTACTTCGTCTTTGGAAAAACTTCATCCAAGACATGACAACTTTATTGAGAGACACATAGGACCAAATGATGTAGAAAAGAAAGCAATGTTGGATTTCATTGGAATGAAAGTAAGAACGTTTTTATTGTTCAACATTGCGTTGTTTACGTGAATTCATATTTATACGTCATTGAGTTTCTTCCCTTCACGCGGTCATTACAGGTCATTCCTTGAAAAATGTCATTTTTATGTAAATAATATTTCGCTTCTTTACGTTACCAAACCAAGTTTAGTAGTGTAATTTAGATATTGAATTTAATGCTGTCACAGGGATGCATGTGCCTTCCACCGTAAGGTGGAAAATTAAAAGTTGATTATAAATTTAATTAATATAGCCTACATACTACAGTTCAAAAGTTTTGTGAAGGAAAAAATTGAAAAATTCAGCTTTTCACCACAAATTTGAATCCCCCATAATTTTAACTTTAAGTTCATGCCTTGTTTACATTTTTAGGATTCTGTAAGCTATATTGTGATATGGGTCAGCTGTTTTGTAATGTAGGCGTAGCATATCCTTGACACTTGCATATAAATATTCAGCGCTGTAAACAATGAATTATATAGCAGTGTCTTTAGTAAAAGCATAATTTTGAATGTCCTTAATGAGGTAAAAATAAGATAAATTCATTCATCTGTTGGAATTAAAGGAATTGGAGGTGATCAGTCAAATACAAAAACAGAATACATGTTACATAATGTAAATATACTAAAAATAAATTCAAACAAAAATAATTGTGGCATTATATGCCTTTCGAAGGCATTGCACAGCAAAGATTCCACTGAAGGCTTATGCTACAGGCTGATATGGTTATTATCTACTAGTCTAAACAAATATTGCATATGTCCTTTTTCTGGAAGAGGCCAGAAAAATTTATCATGATTAAAATTAACAAACCCCTGCTCTTGGTCTTCTTCCCAACCCTCTTGTAGGCATGGTAGAATTAACTTTAGCCCCAGTGTTACAAAAGAATGCATCCTGCACAATATTGTGAAATTCCTATGATATGAGAATTCATCTGATGACTGAAATTTTTCATGCAAGAGGAAGACATTATTCATAAATACCTTAAAGTTTAATATATCAGTACCAGAGAGGCAAGTTTTAAAAGAGATTTTTTTTTTTGAAAATGCATTTTTTTCTAATATTCTTTTTCTTTTTTTTTTTAACAGAACATTGACGAATTGATTAAGAAGTCTGTACCTGCCAACATTTTATTGGACAGGGAGCTGACATTAGATGAGCCACTAGGTACAGTGTATGTTATATATTGTGTCAGGTCACATGTTACCTCATTCAAGGCCGGCATTAGATAATGCATGTCCAGTTCATTGAACTTTGACACAACTTTTATCACAAATATCATGATAATAATGATAAATTTTTAACAGTACATTCTTATCACTTCTTTGGCTTACTTCACATTGAATTGATAGTACATGTAGTAGTATCTAGATACAGTCAAACCTTGCTATCTTGAACATGATGGGACGGAGAAAAAACATATCCTAAGGTTCGAGATACTGAGGGTAAAATACATCAAGGAAAAGTACCTAGGACTTCAAATCACTTTGATATATCCATTGGTATTCAAGATATCAATGTTCAAGATACCGAAGTTCAACTGTATATGATTGGCTTAGGATGGGGTAAGAGCTTTTTAGGGTATCTATGGAATATCTATTAAGCTTTTTCACATCAGAATATTGTCATTTGTCCTAAGGTCATTTTTAGTCTCAATATGATACAAGCAAAGAGCATCCTTAGGTAAAGGGTTTGCAGTGACCTTGACCCAAGTCTCATAAAGTCAAGCTCCTTGATGCCACTAAGGTATACAGTGGACCTTCAGATATCCGGACGCCAGATATCCGGACGCTTCAGTTTCCGGACGTTTTTTAATGGGAACGAAATTTTTTAACGTTATTTTGTCTCGTTTAACCGGAATTCCGTGTTCCGTATCCGGACGGTCTTTTTTCACCACAAAATGAATTTTTACGTTATATTTTGGTTCATTTATCCGGACGATAATTTTTTAACTGGCCTGTCAAGTCTGCTCAAATTTCTTGATCTGGGTGTTAATTGTTGTAAAAACACTGGTCTGGCTGTTTGTTTTTAAAGATAATCACCTGTGACCTGTTATCAATGGCTTGCAGCAAGGTTAATTGTAGGTCGATAGGTATGCACGAGACTCTCGCTTCTCTAACATGGTTTTGATAAGTATTAATATAATTAAGAAAAATAATTTTATAAGTCTAGGATAATTTTTTAGTAGTCGGCAATTTACTGTTAGAATACAGTCGTAACATGGTTTTATGTATTTATAGACATGGCATCGGAGGTTTTTTTTATGCACAGTATTTTGTGCGCGAAACGCATTCTATGATTTGATGACATTTATAAAAAAAAATCATTTTCAAAATTACACAATCGTTAATACGATCTCGCTTTGGATGTTTACGATTAGCGTTCGTATACATATGCAGATTATGTCACATTTAGCATTGATGGGCGTTCATATTAAATAAGACTCTACCGACAGTACCGTACCGACATGGCTACTAGGAGAAGTTGATTCATTAGACACTGGGAGGTAGAAATAATTAATGTGACCATATAAACACTTCTTTTTTCAATGACACATGTACTTTTTTATTTATTTTAACAAATATTGAGTAGTACTGTCTTATATTAAAGTATTTAAACAATAAAACATATTGATAAAAAGCAACATTCTTTACTATTGAAATGGTATGAAAGGCCATATAACTAAAATAAAGGGAATTCAGGTATCCGGACGCTTCACATATCCGGACAAATTGACTGGGAACCAAAGCGTCCGGATAAATGAGGCTCCACTGTAAATAATGCATGATTTGAAATGTTGCATATAGTGCACATGACAGATTAAAAAAAAATGTTCATCTGTCTGCAGTTGGTGGCTATTGCTGAACTGATCAGAGACAAGAAGAAATTAGTGTATTTTATATGTTTCATTAAATGATTACCGTACATGACTGGAACATATAGTGTTTGTCGTGTCCATCTTCTGTCCTTCTGTCACACTTTTCATTTAACTCAGTTTTGAAGAAACTATTCAAGATATTTATGCCCCGCCATGAATATGGCCAGGGCATATAGCAATTGTCATGTTTGTCTTCCATCCTTCTGTCATTCCATCAGACTTTGCATTTAGATCAGTTTCAAAGAAACTCTTTAAGGTATTTTTATAAAACTTCATATGCTTATTCATATTGATGAGAGCTATTCAATCAACATTTTGACGTTGACAACTCCTTTGACCTTGACCTCACTTTTCAAAATTTGTGTTTAGCTCAGTTTTAAAGAAATATTCAAGATATTTTATCAAGCTTCATAGACTTATACATATTGATGAAAGCTATTGAATTACATCAACATTTTTTACCCAGGACTTTTCTTTGACCTTAACTTCACTTTTCTCAAATTTGTGTTTAGCTTAGTTTCAAGATATTTTTATTAAACCTAATATGCTGATACATGTCGGAGAGAGCTATTCAACGTCAACATTTATTGACCTTGACCTTTCCTTTGGCCTTGACCTCACTTTTCTTAAATTGTGTTTAGCTAAGTATATTGTATCAAGATATTTTATCACTTTTCTTAAATTTGTGTTTAGCTAAGTATCAAGATATTTTTATTGAACTTCATTTGATCGTACATATTGAAAGTTATTCAACATAAAATGTCTTTTACCTTGACCTTTACTTTGATCTTGACATAACTTTTCTTGATTTGTGTTTAGCTAAGTTTCAAAGAAACTAAGATATTTTTATTAAACCGTATGTGCTGATACATATTGATAGGAGCTATTCAACTTCATGAAAATTGTTTTTTGACTATATCTTTGATCTTGACAGTATGACCCCACTTTTTTCTAAATTTGTGTTTCAAGGAAACTATTCAAGATATTTTATCAAACTTCATAGGTTTATACATATTGATGAAAGCTATTGAATTACATCAACATTTTTTACCCTGATGTTTCCTTTGAACTTGACTTCACTTTTCTCAAATTTATAGTTGATTCAGTTTTAACAAATCAAGATATTTTTATCAGACTTCATTTGCTGATATATTTTGGTGAGTGCTATTGAACTGCATCAAAGTTTTTTAACCTTGACCTTTCCTTTGACCTCACTTCTCTTAAATTTGCATTTTGCTCAGTTTCAAAGAAATTATTCATGATGTTTCTATGTAAGCTTTTACGCTGATACATAATTTGGTGAGAATACATCAATTATGTCAGATTTTTATTTATCTTGACCTTCCCAATGACCTTTGACTTTACAATTCATTGTGTTTAAAACTATTTTTTAAAGAAACTATTCAAGATATTTTCATCAAACTTTGTACACTAATACAAGTTTTCATGTTACATAACTAATGAACCCTGGGCACCCATATCCTGAAGAAGTATTTCTAGTTTTATTAAACTTCATATGCTGATTCATATTGATGAGAGCTACCTGGTATTCAGTTGCAGTAACATTTTTGTCCTTGACCATTCCTTTGACTTTGACTTCACTTGTCTCAATTTTGTAATAACCTTAGTTTTAAAGAAACAAATCAGAATATTTTTATCAAACTTCATATGGACTTCATATGCTGATACAGTTTGGTAAGTGCTTTTGAACTGCATCAAAAAATTTTTACCTTGACATTGATCTTTGGCTTTGACCTTCATTTGACCTTGACCAAATTTTGTTTTATCTTGACCTTCACAATGACCATGACATAACTATTTATTGTGTATAAAACTCAGATAAAAAAAATCAAGATATTTTCATCAAACTTCATACACTAATACAAATTTTCATGTTCCATTACTAATCCATTTCATGTCCTATAACCATATTTCTAGTTTTCTTTTTCTTTTTTTATGTTTTCTAAAAGTTATGTTTCCATTTTTAGCAAAAGGCTAAATTCTAATTAGTTTGGACTGTCTTTTAAGTAATGCAAATAGTTAACCATTCTGCTATACATGCATAAGAAATGCAGTTGATTTAAGCTACTCAAATGAAAGGCCAAAGGGTCTAAATGCCAAGACTCTGTCACAAAAGGTATTATAAATCTGCTGAAAGAAAAAATAGGATGACATGTCATTTCTCAAATGAAAAGGGTCTGCATGCCAAGACTCTGTCACAAAAGGTATTATAAATCCATGCTGCATCAAAAAGCAGGATAACATGTTTTTTTTAAAAATGTTTTACTCTATTTTCAGATGTTATATTATGTTTTTTTTGTTTGTTTGTTTGTTTGTTTGCAATAACATTGAGAACCATAAGAATGTTGTTTTGTGAATTCAAGTGCTTTATAAATAGAACAAGCACCTGTTTATGGGTCTCTGGTTCAGTAATCTGTCATTCAAGGACACCCAAATTTTTTATCACAAAGATAGTGTTGACTTTAACTTATAATAGAGTATAAAGAAAATTAAATCTGATTAGTTGTCAATTGGTCAGTTATATAAGGATTTATATGTGTGCCAAGAGATATAGAAAATGCCAAATACTTCTATTACATGTGTATAGGAGCACAAATTTGGCAGCATAAGTGAAATTTTAATGATTGATTGAACAGAAATTGAACTCTCACATTGAACAATGTTGAAAGCTTTTATAACTAAAAATTCTGAAAGATAAACAAATTATATCCTTTCAAATTGTTATGTCCCACAATATAAAATTCATGAAAAATTTCCTTAACCCTGATTTTGTTTACTTTGTATTAGGAGAGCTGGAATTGATTGAAAAGCTGGAGCAAATGGCCAACAAGAATGAAGTTTGGAGAAGTTATATAGGAATCGGTTACTACAACACATATACCCCACACACAATATTGAGGAATATTTTTGAAAACCCAGGATGGTACAAAAAATAAAATATACCTTATACCTGTTTAATTTGTATAAACTATCTTGTTATTATTTTTAATATATAGGTAACACTAATTTGAAATGCTGCAAGAATCTCTTGTATAGGTAGTAATTATTTTATTATAATATTATAAAATATTTTTAGTCTCTGAGCACATGAAAATTAAAATTTTTTTTATATAATTACATGATAACTATCAGATAGAGAGCAGAAAAGAACCTTTAAGACCCATTTATTATTGATGCAGGACCACTCAGTACACCCCCTACCAGGCAGAGCTGGCCCAGGGCCGCCTGGAGAGTCTCCTAAATTATCAGACAATGGTCGTGGATATGACTGGACTTCCTATCGCTAACGCCTCCCTACTGGATGAAGCCACTGCTGCTGCTGAAGCTATGGGGCTCTGTTACAGGTCAGGACAAAATTATATTGCAGTTATTAGTCACTTGTTAAAATTTAGTATAAATGTTAGAAACTCTCAGTTTCATATTTTTAGCATTTTTTTTTCTAGTTTTGTGATACTGCACATGACTTTTAATGTCATTTGGTATAATCGCTATACATGTATATATAGAGTAGATAACATTGAAGTACTTGTATACAGATATGTGGTTAAGTGTTTTGTCTTTGGTAAATGTACATAGTTTTGTGCCTATATTTACAATTTAATTAGTAAGTCACATTTATTCATCATATCCGTTTACAGTTATCATGTTTAAGGTTTAAAACCGTAAATTTATTAATGACTTAAGGACCCTCTATACACCTAAGGAAAATATTTTTTGGACATGGAGAAAATTACAGTGTGTAAAGGTGTAAATATTGAGCTTATCTATTACATTTTCAACATAGGGTACCTTGCATTTATCGACAGGAAAAATGTTCAAAGACAATTAAGTACTGATGAACAGAAATCACTGTTGTTTACTCAAGTGGGCAAAATACCTCCAAAGGAAGTGTTCAATCTATTCATCTTGGCCTATTAAAATCTTATGAATGCTTGATTTGATCAAAAATTAAGTCATTAACTGTACAATTCAATTTATTACATTTCAGTTCAAAGTGCAGATTACTCTGTCTGCATAAAAATACTACAAAATCAGAACTCTTCAGTGTGCAGTGTATAGAGGGCTTTCAAAACATAGTTTTGGCCATTTCAATCACTCAAATAAAGCTCACTTTAGATTTATCATGTTGAAACATTAAAACAGTAGGAGTTTTATGAAAAGCATGTTTGTATTTTTTCTTCAAGTTTTTTTTTTCTCAAGTTCTTAGTTGCTATTAACAAACTCCGAACAATACTCCTCAACAACCTTACCAGCTAACAGGAGCCAAATTTATTGTATTAATATGTTAAAAACAAAAAAGTACATACAAGTAGTCTGAGAGCACGGTGAAATAAGCAGTACATCACTCAAGTTACTACTCATTTTAATTGCACATTCCAAATTAAATCAACACGCATTTATCTTATCGATCATTGTAAGACAAATATATTGTAACACAAATTATTTAAGAACCTAATTATGTTACATTAAGTCAGAGGTTGTAATTCAGGGCCCCATGCATTTTACAAAAAACTTATGACAATATTAAATTGTAATATTTTGCAAATAACTTTCTTTTTCTTTTAAACATCATTTTGAAAATGTTTTTAATCTCTTTATAAAGCATTTAGAGTGACAATTTTATGCCAGCAAATTTTAGCAGAAACATTAATTTTGCAAGATTTTACAATCAACTGAATTTTTGGTCTTAGTCATAAATCCTTTTGTAAAATGGGCCCCAGCTGATGGATCTGTGGGTCAATTGCTCTTACATTACACTTGTCTCCATATTCATTCATGCATATCCTTAGTAATACATGCACTTTACACATTCAAGGCCACATTTGTAAGAGAGTGATAAAATTTCCATGCATAACATACATGAGATATAGATATTGAAGTATTATACAATGTGAGATGATAAAAGTTGAAAAAAAATTCTTACACATCAAATGCAAAATACTTGATTATTTGGCAGCAATGATTTTGTACTAGACAAGAATCAAAGTACTCAGAAGTACAGAGAGCTAGGCTCATTTACAGAATAGTGAACAAAGCCCTTTTTTACATGAAACATACATTGTAATAACAGATATAAGTAACGAGAAGTTCAGAAACTTGAAGAATACCGGTATGTAACACAAAATACATGTAGTATATTTCTGAAAAATTTTCACATGTATCTTTCTAGGGTCTTATATACCACTCATAGAAGTAAATTAACATTGATGCAGCAGTGTCAAATGTTTGTGCACTGATGTCGAGTCCTCAGCAGGGAGTTTTGCAGCAAGATGTACAATAGGACACTAGCTCCCTTGCATTATCTTGTTAGCCTGCTAGCAGTCAACCTCTATTAATAGAATGTAATGCAGACAGTGGGTCCTGATGAAAACCTTTTGCTTATATCTTTAAACATAGAATTAATCAAAAAACATGGGAGAAAGTACATTATCATTTATGTTTTTTTATTTAGAAAATTCCTCAGTTAACTTTATACTTTGATTTAGTTTTTGTATTGTCTCAAAAGTGGCTAAGCATGTATTTTACTCATGAATTTGATTTGACGGTGAGGAAGCAGCATATATGGTTGAACACTGTGATAGAAGCCTGCTATTGCTCTATGAGCAATCACCCTGGCTAAAAACCATACATATAATGGTACCCTTAAGTTAGAACATACACAGTTTAAATAAATCATTGAACAAGTTGAAACAAACTTGGTTTCTCCATGTTCATAGCAACAGGTGTTCATGATTTAGACCAAAGATGTCCATAGTTTTGTTCCAGATTCATGCTCTGATTATCAAGATTAAATACTGTCAGAGTAAAATGGAGAAATGCCGGGGACAAAAAAATTTTATTCATTATAAACAAAGTTGGCTGTATCCATGAATTTCATATGTTTTAAATCTATAGGGATGAAAATCATGCTGTAAGCATGGTAAGCATGAATTCATTGTAAGCGTGTTTGCTGGAACCGTGTTTTACTGTATGTAGATTCAAGTCAGTTCCTTGACCACCTGCATAAAGGAGAGATTTTATTTTCTCAAAGTGAAAGAAAATGCAGCATTGCTCATGACACATAGTAATATTGTACAATTGAATGCATTTATTGCTTCAGATATAGCTACCTAGGATTCATGTGCAAATTTATGATAACAACAGCTGGGAATTTTATTACTGGTATCACTATTCAACTGTTTAAATTGTATTTTCTTTTCAGACACAACAAAAGACGGAAGTTTTACATTGATAAACACTGCCATCCACAGACCATTGGTGTTGTAGAAACGAGAGCAAGGTATTGTTTTTTAGGCATAATAAAAAATATGTTTGTTTACTGTTACATGCTGAAATAAAATAGGGTCAGTAGGTAGGATTTTTTTTTTATTTTATTGAATTTTTTTATACACAAATTAACATGAATTGGTTGAAATACAAAATAGTTTTACCATTGTGTGGTGCTTTACTTATGTTTGGGCTTGCCGTATGGGCGATAGGTGCAAACATGTTGATGTAGATGTTAAACACACCACTAGTACTTTTGGATTTCAAACCCTTGACCGATTAAGATTCATGTGAAAGTTAAACTGACCAGCGAGTGACTTCAGGATTTTAATGACGAAAAAAAAATTGGGTCGGCAAATAAATATAGGGCCGGTCGGGTAATGGTAAACACATATTTTTTTATTATGCCTTGGTACAGTTACACATTCAGTGCAAATTCATTCTTACATTTGATAAATATTCTGGTCTACTGACCTAGCAAACATTAAATAACTATAATACTGTTCTCTGTTTAGTCCATAGAAATAGCTTGGGCACCCTGTGGGTTAACTAAATACCCTTATAATAAAATGAGAGTTTACATCATGGGAAGATTAATCATAATAATTGCAATTTACACAGTTTTTACATTGATTCATAATTATATATAATAAATTTGTATTTGTGTGATGTACAAGCCCATGTGCACAGGTTTCTAATTTTCTAACATTCAGCCACTAGGTATATGCATATACCTAGTGGACTGTAAGTGAATGATCCTGCAGCACTCTTGCAGTTTCTTTAGAATTCTGCACATGCCAGACACTGTAGATATGGCACATGTTCTAATTACAGTGCATTGGGAATTGAAGTCCTCCGGCTGGACTGGCAGGACATGGATATGTCTAACAGAGACATCTCTGGAATTCTGATCCAGTATCCAGACACAGATGGACACGTTCATGACTACATGGAGTTGGTGGACAATGCTCATGCAAATGGAGTGAGTGGTGATATTATAGAAAAAAACATTAGAATTTAAACTATGTCCAGACAAACTAAGTGAATCCACATTGTGTATTTTTTGTTTATTGTCTAAAAATGACTTCTTTGATGTGAATTAAGATCTCTTTCAGTGTTTTATAGCTGAATGCCTTATTTATTTATGTCTGTATAAGAACACAATTCTTTGTAGTTGAATGCCTGATTTATTTACATCTGTATAATATATTAGTACACAATTCTTTGTACTATATATTTTCAGACCTTAGTGACCTGTGCTACTGACCTTTTAGCACTAACAATGCTGCGTCCCCCGGGCGAGATTGGAGTGGATATCGCTGTCGGATCAAGCCAACGATTTGGAATTCCTATGGGGTATGGAGGCCCTCATGCTGGGTTCTTCTCCACCAAGAATGAATTTCTCAGACTGCTGCCAGGAAGGATGATAGGTGTGACCAGGTATGGAAAGACCTTATGTTGCAATAAATTTGGAAAAAAGCATCCAGGTCATATGTCTTGAATGTATAAACTTCACAATAAACCTTGATACTAATTTCATTGAATATGGT